AATTGTTGTTATTCCTGTTATTCACGGTTTTCCATTGTAGGTGTTTGACCTTATTTACCCTTCGTTCTGCATTCCAATCGACCATGCCCTGTTCATGTCATTATTGTTGTGGCGTTGGCATCATGCTTTTCCGCAAGCCGGTGATATATATTTGTTATTGCACATCTTGGTATGATGAACAGTATACCGGGTAAACACCACAGTCACGAGGACCTGCTGTTCAGTGGTGGCAACCGGTAACCTAAGCCCTGGGACCCGGAGTGGCGAACCACATAAAGCACGCCGGTGACAGCTCGCCACCCGACTTTGGTGGTAGGCAGCTCTGTTGTCGTCCGATTCAATACCACACCCAACCTATCGGGGCCTTATATGGTTTACCACTCCAAGTCCCGGGGCTTAGGTTACCGGTTTCCATCACTGAACAGCAGGTCCTCGTGATAATGGGGTTCCACCCCGTCTGCTGTTCATCATACGAAAGTGTGTAATAAAAAAATCATCTGATCAACAGAAAGGGTAAATTCCATGATCACGAGGGCTCGCTGTTCACACGAAACACTGAGAGTAAATCAAAGAAGCTATGAAAATACCGATAGAAACAACGGTGGATGATGTATTAGTAATGGCAGTAGTAGTTGTTCCTTTTCAATGGGTGCTTCAATGTTTTCCATCAATTACAGCAAAGATTGTCGTGTAAAATTTTGAAAACCCATACTTGGCGCCAAGCGAACACAAAACATCTGACGGGGATTTGTTGATGTTACGTTCGTAGTGGGAGGGGGAGTTTGTGGAACCCTTTGCATACTTCATCACCACACTACCATTAGGTTTACAATGGAAAAACAAGTACGAAGAATAAAATTCCGAGTGCCAGGTAACTTTCACATGAGTGAAAGTCAATTTTCTGTACGCGCATACAGAATGACAGCACACTGGCAAATATTTATTCTACCACTTGAATCACTTCAAAAGTGTGAGGGACGCAGTGGTGACCAATCTACTAACTAGAGCAACCCGGTTCGTCTCCAGCGAAGGTGAACAATTACAAAAAGAAGTCCAGCCAATCACAAAAGAGTTAACTGATAACCGATGTGGGCCATATTTTCTACGTAACATTCGTAAGAAACTTCAAAAGGAACGTCCAAAAAGTCAAAAATCAAAAAGACAGCTCGTATCGCAAATAGTATCAGGTAATATCGCTTCAGTTAGAAGACATCCAACCAGTTTTGAACCGTTTCAATACACGAGCAGCATTTCGCGCAACCCATACCATTCGTTCAAAAATAATGCGATAACCGACTAAACAGTGATCAGTCGAATCTCATTTACAACATAATATGTACAGGATGTCCGGCCTCGCACATTGGATAAACAAGTTGAAAACTAAAGCAACATTTAGCTAAATGACAGAAAATCCGGACACGCACCACAAAGCATTTATGAATTCAGAACCCTCGAAAGAATGTTCTATTCCCAAAGTACGTTTTATAGGTTAAAAACGATTATTCGGGTAGCTACTGAGTCATTGATGATCAACGAAGATCTAAATTGTGAATCTTTTATTGTGGAGCATAAGAGTTAGATATACATTCGTCTTATCTGCCCAGCCACCCTGCTCTTTATCAGCCCTTGCCTGTTCATCATACTGTATGCTTAGAGTTCATTGAAAAGGCCAAACATTTAAGATGTTCGCTAACCAGCCCCAGGTTCATTTCTACAGAATTCGTCCTTCCAAAGCGGAAAACTGTACCGTTTATTTCAAATGCCATAACTGTCATGCTGCCCAGTTTTAGTGGTATAAAATACTTATCCTTTATTCATTCCTACTAGCTTGTTGCCCTGCTCATTCACTCTCTTATTTAGCTTACGTGCCATCCTATCCTATCTGACCTATCCCTCCCACCCACCCAGGTACATATTTCGTCATTTTCGTCTTCCTATTTCCCGTGCTCTACAAACCCAAAAATGTAACTTGTTCCTGTTCCATCGCGCCGTACCCTCGTCTGTTTGCGCTCCACCATATGTTACAAATGACAGTCTGCATGCTCCACCACGTCCTGTTGTTCATAATTCAGACGAACTAAATGAGTTGCGCTATGCTGGAAGTGTTGTTCGACAGATATTCCGAGAATTAGAACTCCGACTAAAGCCCGGTTGGACAACCCAGGATATTGATGATTTCGTTTTCGAACGCTGCTGTTCCAAGCGAGTCTATCCATCTCCCCTAGGCTATCACGATTTTCCCAAGTAAGCGTAATAAAATACTTGTTCATGTTTATGACTCACTTTCGTATGCTACCCCCTGGTCTATTATCAATGTTCTTCTGTCTACTCTTATTTCCGGTTATGTGCACAAGAGGCATGCTGTAGTGATAATTTTTGAGTGGCTGAAATCTATCATGGGTGTACAAAGTTAGGTTTGTGGCTCATTGTTATAATTACGCCAATAAGCCCTTAAGCGGTCGACCATATCAAGCCCCAGAGTTGAGATTACCGGCTCTCACAACTAAAGATCAGGATGGTTTGATCATAGAGTTGACTACTTCCATTGTAAATTCAAAATCCTTGCGTGCCACACATACCAGACTGTAAACGGATGTCAAACATACAGTATGAGAATTACAAAGCCCAGCAGTCTGCTGTCACCAACTTCACTTTTTTGATTTATTTTTGGGGAGGAGGGAAGACGGCCTATCGATTATTTTTCTAAAGTGGTTACCGCCTGTTTCCATGCGGCTTCGCTATTCTCCGATGCAACACTACACCTATTCTAATAAGACTTTACGTGAATTATCACTTCAATTACCGAGCTTACGAGACCTGATTCCGATTGTATCATATAATGGTGGGCAAGTAAATGGAATTAGCTTATTATTGGAAATTAGTGAGCACAAAAGGTCCTGTTAAAATGCTAAAGTTGTAGATCTGAACTTCAGCGAGTATCCTTTACTATAGCGTAAAGCTTTCTTGTTCTAAAAGCTCAGTAGCACACAGATAGTCGAGATTTTATTCTCTTCTTTTGAAGCACTTTGAGTGTTCCTCTCATTCGGCACCTTAACCCCATTCTGCATGGCCCTCCCAAACTCCAGTTTTTCTAAAGATGAATGAAACCTCAATCTTGCTCCCAGAAATGTTCGTTTCAGGAACAGTATACTGAAAAAATCCTACTAACTGCTTTTTCACGACCAATATGTTATCGCTAAATTGAGAGGACGACAAGCTAATATATGCGAATATGGAAGGCTCATCTAGGAGAGCTGGCAAACAATGATTTCAAACTTTCCCAGAAGAGACAAATAGACCGACTCCAAGACNATCTCGAGGGTGTGAACTACATTCAAAGAGCCCCTAACGAACCGCGGTTTTTACCAACTGTTTTACTATCTTACGGATCAGGTTTTAGCTTCGTGAATCCTGTCAAAATCATTCGCTTCGAATCAAAACAACTTGGTATTATTTCGCCCACAAGGAATTTCACGAACCGAGTTTCTACATCATAAACGTTGTTGTACCACGTTGAGTTTGGCTCAGTTAAATGTAAAAACCCTTAAATTCCAGTCGATATATACCGTTGAAGATGATAGTATTAATAACTGAATCAATCAGACAATGAGAATCACCATACGTTAATATACGGCGATGGAACCACAAGCGTTGACGCTTTCCATATTCGCAATTTTTTCCAATTTGATTATTACGATAAACTTGCTAACATAATTGCGTGGTTTATCTTCGGTTCATCGGAAACCGACCTCAAGTCCTTGTTCGGGGGGTTAGCCAGCAGCGTGGGCACTTTTATGCTTTTATTTTAGCGAATTATTTTCAAATGGTGACCCCAATGGTAATTGTCCGCAGGAGCCAAAAACTGTTCTGTGGGACTAAGTAAACGTGTGAAAGTGGCTCTAACCTTCTGAATCAGAATACGTAATTATTTTTTATCCTTTGTTTCACGGTCTAGATCCGTATGTACTTCAGTGAATGAGGTTGCTTGCCACGGGATACCTTCCTCATCTGAAGTGCTTCAACCTGGTGATCTGATATCTGTGGACATATCAATCTACACCGGTCGAGCTCACGGTGATGCTTGTCGCAGCTACGTGATCTACGCGTCCGATGGTCAAGTAGTGGATACCAAAAATTATAAAAAACGTGTCAAGACCGCGCAGTTCTTATGTGATGTGGCACAATTGTGTTGTGAAGCGGGCGTCTCAATCTGTGCACCAAATGTGCCATTCCGCGAACTCGCTCAGGTTATTTCCATGGTTTCCGATAATCATGGCTGCCGTGTTGTGGCTGGAATCCGTGGGCATGGAATTGGGAAATTTTTACATGGACCACCGGAAATCCTCCATTCTGTCTATGAATTGCCAATGGCGTCCCCGGCGTCTGCCGGTGTGATGCGAACTGGGCATGTGTTTACCATAGAACCATGCATAGCTCTTGCTGATCCATACGCGGCCAAGCCGGAGGATGGCTGTTTTCAAGTGCCTGCAAGTCCTGTGATTGCCGAGGATGGCTGGACTGTGACTACAGCAGACAGAGCACTATGTGCACAGTTTGAACATACAGTGGAAATCACAGATACAGGAAGCTCGATCCTTACTTAGCTCCAAATCGATTTATGCATTTTTTAGACAAAATTACGGTGCTTTATTTTCTTTGTATCATGTATTGTTCAGATTATTTTGTTCCAATTTTTCCACTATCTTAACCCCTGGTAAGGTAATTTATTTCTGTATAATCGTTTCAGCTAGTTTATCGTAAGTTATTAACGTAATATGAACTGAAGGAAGATAGCCAAAGACGGGACCGGTCTGTCATTTTTGCAGTCAACAGGGTAGAATCACGACGGAGGCAAGGACTTCCGAGGGATGCTCCGTTCACTCATGCGATTAGCATACCCCCACCAAACTCTGTTGAGAACAAACTCCAGTGAAGGTCATCGTGAATGAATGGATAGAAGTGCACCACTACCGGTGAACAATGTTCTCGTTGCTCTAGCCCTTGAGTGTTGTGGTTTTGTTTTTTCAATGCCCCAGAAAATCACTCAAAAACAGGTAACCAAGTAGAGATTAGCATGAAATACGCGTGCTAAGATTATTCTTAGTATATCGTATCATTTGCCTAGATGATTCGATATCATTCCATTAGTGAATAGACCGTTGGATATTGTGAGCATGTGTAATAAGTGTGTGCAACGTACTTGGCGGACTGACACCAGCGCTCGCTTAAGCTATTCAATAATCTTTTGACTAATCACAGAAGCATGGGCTACTGCAGATTTCATCAATGTGTGTGCGCGCGCACGAAAGATAGTCGATATTTAAATGCACTTGATTTCGCTGCTGACTTGTTATTTTACACCAAGCGTACAGTCTTTCAGACATTGTGTTTCAACAACTGGATATAGTCCAATTGGAGCTGGGGAATTTGGAATACGTGATATCTGAAAGCAAATGTGCCAATGTAAGTCGGTATGGATTTGATTACTATTAGGAATGAGATAGGCATTCGGTTTTTCACTAGGTAAATAAACAAAACGGACGTTTCATCAATCTCGAACTCAGACATATTCTATCATAAGTCCCGGATAACTTTAAGAGGTATGTGCAAGAATATTTCGCTGATGAGATTGACAAACTGCCATTGAATTCATTATATCTTGGATTTCAGTCCTTTGCGTTGTATCCATATTGTACTTCTGTAGATGTTAGGATGGTTTTTCTTGGTAACAGTTTGAGAAATGAAGTCAACTGCGGTATTAAATCGGTAGATAACTTTCTTATAAGTACCACAGAATGGAAAACAAATTAGGGGCATACTGATAAAAGCAAGCATCAGCAGTTAAAAATTACGAACGCAGTGTGTTCCTACCTCGTTGAGTAAAAATCATTCCGTACATGTGATAAACGCGTTTTTTCTCATTTATAAATTTCGACTTGTGTAATCGAGAGTGATCAAACGTAGCGTCTTAGCAACAGCCAAAACCGTGAGTATTCGGATTTATAGGTATCTAAACTCCTCAAGCCCTGGTTATCTCCCCCTGCACGTGTTCAACCACTGAAATATTTGACACCCATCGATTTCAGATATGAACAAGTACGGCTAACTTTTCATTATTTCTGGAATTTGTAATCGCGTGTAGTGTTATTGTTGTGATCCAGACATATGTGACCGCATTCCAAGTACGGTCAGGTACAGCTTCACAGCATTCAATCAAAGTTCAGGAAGCTGGACCAATGGTAAACCGGCGAACATTGCATCAGAATTAGTACATGCGATGTCTCTGCGCAAACGGTTACGTGACTGGACGATGGTCCTTCAACCAATGATATGGCCTATTGATTTACATGAAACATGCTCTATGTCTATGAGTAAACATTAACACTTGTTGCTACCACTTCTCCGTGTGTTTCATTTTTGTCCGCAGTTCGGGTTGGAGCCAATCCACCTCTGGGTATTACAGTACGGGTTCTCGTATTCCGATATTCAGTACTAATCCGATTACCACAGTTATGTATTTGTATGGCTGTAAACACCTTTGAGGATAATTAGCTAAGCTGTTTGATGAAAATGCTCTTCTACTCAGCGTGACAAACGGCGTGCATTAGAACACCATGAGAATCACCGGCGCTTTTCATCCTCTACTCCTACTGCTTATGCGATACAGACAACTGCGATCGTGAATTGCTCTGTTTTCCACCAACTTACCGTTCTTAGCAGAGATAATTTCTCAGGTTCACGACCCGAGGAGTTGGGATGCCTATAAACGCGAGTACTGGCGCTAAGACGTGAC